TCTCTTTCTTTTTCATTTTTTTTCCTTTTGTCTTCCCTATCTTCTCTTTTCTTCTTGTCCATCGTTTGTTTATCCACTTTCCTCTTACTTATTTTTTTTCTCTTTCATGGTTTCCTTCATCACTTGTTCTCTGCTGTTGTCTCTTCTCCACTTCTCTCACGTTTTCTTTCTCACTTCTCTCCACCTCTCTCGCCTCTTTTCCTCTATCCTCTCCTCCTCTCGCCTTTTCTTCTCTCACCTCTACCCCTCTCACCACCTCTCTCACCTCTTCTTATCCCACCATTTCTCTTGCCACTTCTCTCATTTCTCTCTCACCTCTCCTCTTTCCTCTTCTCCGCTATATTCTTCTTCTATCGCCTTTATTCCTCTAACCACCCCTTCTCACCACCTCTCTCGCCTCTTCTCCTCCCACCATTTCTCTTCTCAACCTTTGCTCTCATCTCTCTCTCTCACTTCCTCTTCTCTCACCATTTCTCTTCTCAACCTTTGCTCTCATGTCTCTCTCTCTCTCACTTCCTCTCCTCCCTCTCCGTAACCCCCGAAGAGTCACCCCGTGTTGTCTCCCTCTCCAGCCGTCTGTTGTACCCCCTGTTCGTCATCATAATCTATGGGTCCTTCTCCTTCCCTCTGGGCCTGGGACAGTTCGCCGGCACCGAATTAAGTAACCACCAGCAGGTAAGGTTCCTCATGTCTCTCTCTCTCTCCCTTTTTTCCGAACGTGAGGCGACGGAAGGTAATCAGGAGGTCTTCTTTTGTCTCGTCGAAGCATCTTTTTTTCCCGCGCGAGAATGGATGGTCTTTCGTCTTGGAACGGGTAAAAAAAAAATAGGTTCAAATATACTCAGCTTTGTTAGTACTGTGACAGATACAACACATTTTTTTTGTGGGAAGAGACAACGATATTAAAATACATCTTGATTTTTGGGTTCTGGTTTGTAGAGGGCTTATAATGGCGTTCTCCATTTTTGGTTTGTTTTCTTTTTATTTTCTTATTCTCTCTCTCTCTCTCTCTCTCTCTCTCTCTCTCTCTCTCTCTCTCTCTCTCTCTCTCTCTCTCTCTCTCTCTCTCTCTCTCTCTCTCTCTCTCTCTGTTTTGCTGGGAATATGATACAGGTGGCCACAGTTTTCAGGTTTACGCTATTGTTCCAAACTACGAAATGATAAAAAGGCACACATAAAATCGCCATTGTAATAGAAAATGTTATATTTAGGATCTATAACGATACTAGCTCTTGAGTTTGGACAGTACAACTTTTTCATCAGAAAACTTTATAAGGTATTTAAACCATAGTTCCTCCTAGAGAAGTTAAGTCGGATCTTCAAGACTTTTAAGAATACACGAGAGAAAAGGTAAGTTAAACGAAATTTCCTCAACGTCCGGACTAAAAATATGAAAATGATCGGAAAACATTGTGGTATTGCATAACAGCCCAGAGTGCTTCATAAAACGTTGTACGACCCCCGCCACGTGTGCCCCTCCCCTACCACGTGTTCCCCTCCCTCACCACCTCCCTTGTCTCCCTGCAGCAGTGACTCACGTGTTTTTTCACCCTCGTTGGCTCCCACAGTTCCATTAAACCCGCCTGCAACCCTGTTTCACCGAAGGCACCACACTAGCCGTCTGTTCTCTCTGTCTGTCAGCCGATTCGCGTATCCTGTCTCGATGACTCTGTTGTTCCTCACTATCCAGTATCCGGGTCTGTTGGGTCAGTTCATAGCCTCCCATCTGTCGACCCATCACCAGGTAGGCTAATGGTCGCCGGAGTTCATTGGATTTTATTATTTTTTTTAGTATTTTCTTTCGTGGAGTTTTCTTTTTCTGTCCCACCGTTTTTTTTTTTTTATCATTTGCTTTTTTTCTTTATTGAGCGCGTTTTCTCCCCTCCCACACACACATAAACAGCCTTCGTCCCGCTTTTTTTTTCTTAAAGGTTCTTCCGAAATCCCGCCGCCAATTTGTGCCTCAACTGTTGGACTTATTCGCGTTATAAACTCTCCGCCCAGCCCCCCTTTAAAAAAAAGACGAAAGAAAAGGAGTATTTGCTCTCTCGTTCAAGCATTCTCCACCACCTGCTTACACCCCCTAAAATGGGCTTTTCTGCCTGGCATGCTCTTCTTCCCCCTCAGCCGGCTGCTGTACCCCCTGCTGTTAACTGTGGTCCTCATGTCACTCACCTTTCCGGACGGGCTAGGCCAGTTCATTGCCGCGCACCTCACCACACATCACCAAGTAAGGCAGGCCAGGAGCTCCCCGGGACCTATAGGTTAGGAGTCTCCTTGTATTGTGTGGTGGTTTGGAAGCGCAGGTTTGTTCCGTCGGGTGAAAGAGATGTTCCAATTTGGCCCGAAGAGCGTCTGCATGTTAAAAGGAAAGATAAATGATCTGAGATTTAGACGAAGCCAAAGAGGCGATGCTCATATTTTGAAAATTCGGTCGGTATTTTTACGCACTTTTATAGTTTCTTATATTTTAGAAACTGAATATGCGAGACATGAGTCTTTTGTTGCTACTAACTAATAATTTACTCGAATATGCGTGTTGCATGGCTTTCACAACATGCATTATGGCTTTTAGACAGAACTGATGTGTAGCTTCTATGCTCTTGATCAGAGTTTACATATTGCAAGATTATTTTTATACAAAAAAGATACTTCGTAAGTAATGCTTCATTATTTTGGGAATGATCAAAGAGATTGATTAAAATATTGCAAATTTACTTCTTTGCATATATAAAGAACATGATCCAAATAATGTTATAACTCTAGAGCAGAGAGCATGGATATAATGCTGAGAGTATGAAGTCTTTGCAGAAGGATGACATGCTGTCTGTTTGACATCACAGTCATAGCAGTCATATGTTAGTATTAGAAACAAATGTTAGTTTGAGGGAAAAAAAAATGTTTATCGTATTGTAAAGTAAAGTTGTATTACTTTGTCAGTTAGAGAATAAACATTTCGGGATTTATTTGCATGCACTGAAGGTTGCTTTGAGTGACATTTGTATAATTAGTGCTTGAACCAAGTACTTATTCTTGTTTTATTTTTTTCTACTACCCACAGAATAATAGATGGTTATTCTGAAAATACATCAGTAGCAGCAGGCATGTTGTGACTATGATTATATTTCACCAATATTACAAAAAAAAATCATTGATCATGATCATGATCATCTTTCATTTGATTTTTTTAATTAGTATAAAAGGTAACCGAAATGCAATGGCGGATCTAAGGGTTGGGGACTGCCTCTCCCGTACTGATAAATTGCACCCTCAGTAATACACTACATACAGATATATGAAAATGATATAGGTAACAATTGTAATAGGGTTGTGCTACCATTGGTAATAAAATGTTGGCTCACATGATAGATGCATATAATTACCCGTAAACTTTCATAAATAGTACTGTGTGTATGTGTAACAGATTCGTTATTGGAGAGTACCTCTGAAATGCTTGTGAAAAAAAAACTGCAAAGGGGACTCCAAATCTCCCATAAACCTCATTTCTTATAACCTTTAGAGCTCTGTGTCTTCTTATTCCATTTTCCTCCACTCTTGGGAAAATCCTGGATCCGTCACTGCAAAATTAGTTATTGCAATATTGTTAGCAACTTCATTTGGTATATTCATCATTAATTTTTCATATTACTGATTAGTAATGTCAGTCTTGTAGCTGTAACAAAGATAAGTCTTTCTATGTCACAGAATTTTAGGTCCTCAAATAAGTCTTTATCCATTCTTCTTCAACTTTTTTACTTTTTTTTTCCCCTCAATTGATGAATATTTATTCTCCCTTGTAGCAAAATGTTATTCTCATAACCCTTTATCAATGATAGTGATTAAACTCTCCTTTTAATGCACTGTTCTGTCACAGGTGGTGGAGCTATTCAGCAATGTTACATGGACAAAGGCAGAACATAGCGTCCACGAATTTGAGATAGTGGAGAACTGGCGCACTCCTTGGACTGGCATATTCATCAACCTTCTTATATACATGCTGTTTACGGTAAAGATATTTTCCTGAAGGAGGGTTTTGGTCTTGTTATGATGAAAGGTCACATATTTTTGTTTGGTTGAGTATTTGGCATTGTAACTTTTGGATTGAAAAATTGGGGTCAGTTTCATAAAAGTATGTTAATGAAATGATATATCTGTTATTGCCTTCTTACTGCACAAACTAATAAATGGCACTAAAACTGCATTTATACCTTCTTCCAAACAGTTCTGTGGCAGTGTGGTGGCCAGTACACTACCTGTTCCTTCTGGTATCTTCATCCCAGTATTCAAGATTGGGGCAGCTCTTGGAAGGATTGTAGGAGAGGCCATGGCTGTCAGTTTCCCCAAAGGCTTGCGATATGGAGGACACAATCACATTATCATACCTGGTATGTGGATAGAGAAATGGTGGATAGAGAAATGATGTCCAAATAATAAAAGGGGCATAAAACATAATATCTTCCTTACTTTTTAGTATATTGACCATCCACATTCTCCCTTAGGCGGCTACTCGATTGTGGGTGCAGCTGCGTTAGCGGGGGCTGTCACCCACACCATCTCCACTTCTGTTATTGTCTTTGAACTCACTGGCCAGATTACACATATTCTTCCTGTAATGGTGAGTGTTGTGGATGTCTGTAACCTATTTCTTTTTTGACCTCCACTATTTATAGGTTTTCCTTTTCATATTTATTTCATTCATGTCACAAATGTTGTATACACTTTTTGAAATCAAATTTTGGTATTTCCTTCTGTGGCATCACACTGCCATTTTTTCTTTTCCAATTTTTGATTGACAGCATCAACATTCATATTAATTGTATTTAACTCAGATCTACCATTTTTATCTGTACTACAGATTGCTGTCTTGATTGCAAATGGAATTGCACAACTCTTGCAGCCATCAGTGTACGACTCCATCATTCAAATTAAGAAACTCCCGTATCTCCCTGACATTCTCACTGCCACCTCTGGGGCCTATAATATCTATGTGGAAGATTTCATGGTGCGAGATGTGAAGTACATTTGGTATGGAATTACGTACAAACAGCTGAAAAACACACTCAAAGAACACAAGAAAATCAGATCATTACCCCTTGTTGATTCTCCAGGTATTCATTAATTAATTTATATTTTTTAATAGTTTTAATTTTAGTTGAGAAAATGATGATATTGCAAAGAGGAACAGTTTTAAGAATTTATAAATCCCCTCTGTCCTCACGTGACTCCTTCTCTGTTTATAGATTCAATGATTCTCTTGGGATCCATACAGAGATCAGAGTTGATCTCTCTATTAGAAGAGCATTTAGGAAAGGATCGAAGGCTGAGAGTTATCAACAAGTGGAAATTTGCAGCTCAGAGGTGAGTTGTGTCCTCACTGTGTTAGGAACTATGTTTTAATCTCAGTGTCATATGATATGGAATTTTCCATCAATTATTCTTTGTATTATGTATTATGTTATGTATTTGGGACAGTTGTACATCTACTGGACAGGGAAATATAAAGGGATAAGCAGTCTACAATAGGATTTGTATCTTTAGAGTCATGGCCAGCACATGTTCACATTTATGATTTTAATTTGCAAAAGTTGAACAAATTGAACCTGATGAGTTCCGTGGACCGCTTTTAAGGAAAAGAGTGGTCAAGTGTAAAAAGTATATTTTTTTTCTTTTCAGCCAGTCTGAAAGTTTAGTGTGAATGCAAAGATAGTGAGAGACAGGGAGAAGATAGTAATAGTGCTTATTTTACTATTCAAAAAAAATTGATATGGAAGTTCATCTTCTCTAACAATGGATCATTTTGAGTCTGTGATTAATGCATGGCCATTAAAAAGATTTGTTTGTACTTACACAAGAAGTGCAGAATTGACTCTAATTGCTTATCAATGTCATACTTACAATTGTTTTTATTCTCCATCAGTAGACTGCCAAGTATGAGGAGGAGGAATACATTATGTGGGTAGGTGGTGTTCAGCAAATGTAGGATAGTACAGCTCAGTAGATGAATGAAGAACTTTTAGTCATTGATATCTGTAGTTGATTTGTAGACCAGTTTTCTCTGCACTTTATTATGAGGGATGTGTCATTTAGATGGTGACATTTCAGGCATGTCAGTCTGAATATATTTCTTTTATACTCTTAGGTCTGTCAGATAGATATATTGAATGTCTGATGTAGCTGCATGATATTTTCTTTCTGATGTAGTTATGTGGATGATATTTAGAACACATTGGTTTATTGTTACTTTTAGTAAAATGAATACACCAAATGGACCATATAAATATACATCTTTATTGCTCGCTCTTAGATAGTTTATAGAAAAGGAGCTTGAATGTGATATGGGTAAAGGAAGACTTTATCTTGAAGTGAGTATTATGTTTGTGCCTCCCACAGATTTTAGTGCATGAACATAAGTCATTGGTAGAATATGACAGTGAACGTGCGTTTTGTTGTAGCCTCTTCAGCAGTTGGTTTTATTGAAAGGAACCCAAATCATAACTCACAAAATATGAATGACCTTAGCAAAGGATATCTTTTAAATCATCTTTTTCATTCTGCCTCTGAAGAGCTCTAGAAGCAGAACAGCTCCAGAAGGAGGCGGAGGAAAAGCAAAAAGAAGAAGAGAGACGTAAAGTAAAGCAAAAACTCCTCGAAATTGAAGAGACCAATAAGAAGGCAAACGTTCCATCGGCTGGATTGGCAATGGTGGCAGGTGTGGGAGGAGGTATGTAATATGTTAAATTATTATGTTATATATGTTTTTAAAAGATTTATTCATACATCTTTTAAGTATTTTAGATTTCAAGTGAATTAGATTTTAAGAGACTGGAAAAATCCAGTGAGTTGAAGTAATTGTTTATTGATTTTCTTCTTGAGTTACATTTAACACTGTCTTTACAAAATCATTTGGTTGTGTTCTTTTTTTATGTATCCAAAAGTTGTTATTTGATGAAAAATGCTAAGAAATTGTAGCTTCATATTGATATTTGTATCTAGATGGAAAAACAAGCCTTCTGACTGTAACTTTACTGATACTTTTATACCATTGATTATTAAAAACACTGATGTGGTAACTCTTCAGAAACAAAGACTTTGAAGTATGTTATACTGAACAACATTTTCAATTGTTTGAAGGTATTGGCAACTGTGGAAAAAAAATTAAGGAAAACTGGTGATTAAATAATGCATGTTTTTGCATAGCCTATGCAAGATTAATGCATTAACTTTTACACTGTAAGGCCATATATGGATGAGGTATAGGCATCCATGCAGTATGTGATTTGAGGACATGAAAAATAACCATACCCAAATGAAAAAAAAAATTGAATATTAATCTCACTATAAGAAAGAATTTCTTTTTTGTTGATTGATCAGAGACAAGTTTGTGATGAGTCTCAACTAGCATTAGTTATATCTGTTGATAGAAAAGGTGGACATATATGCATATACAGTAGCTACAAAAGTTTTTTGAAGTAGACGAGACTATTAAATGTTATGTATCCCACTACATAGCACTTGCTGCAGTGGCGGGGATTGGTCTAAACTTCAAAGGTACTGTGCAGGTTATATTAGTGTTGGTTGACAGTGATCCTTGGACTAACAGTGAAGCCTGTCGTGTAGTGATGGAAAGAGTAAAGCCAAAGTAGAGTGAGTGGATGTGATTTTCGTGTTCGTACCTGATTTTGAGAATGTTGAGAAATGAGGTCATTATCTGCAAAGTGAATAGATAAATAGAAATAAAAGGTTATCATGATTTAACCTTTGGCCTTACTTTAACGTGTTTGGAAAAAAAAAATGTAATTTCTATCCTTAATGACTTTTACATTGCAGTATTGTAGTAATATGACTGACCTATAGGAAAAACTTATGTACTTACTGTATGAAAATAGATCTTGATATTGATCCTAGAGGAGAGGGAAAGTCTTCTAAGGTGAAAGCAGAGGTAATATTGTGATGGAATGAGGTAGTGTGTATTACACAAGTTATGATTTGCTGTGGATTGTCTAGAATATTTTGAATTAACAGATTTATTTCTACACAGATTTTATTTTCCTCTTTTTCAAAAAGTGAAAATCTGTATTTATAAGAATATTCATTATTAACAGTATTAATACATTGGTTTTATCATTAATAAATACTTCCATCTTTAATTTCCCTATGAAACCATTAATGTGTGATATAAACTAAAAATTCTAACAAAAAGTCACAGAATTATCATCCGGATGTTTTATTTTCATTATTTTCAAAAGTATGTACTTTTGGTCAACTTGGTAAGATTACTTTTGCTTATCGCCTTGTGAATTTATAGATTTTATTGATTTATTTGTAGAATTTGTAGAAAGCAAGTAATGCATGTATATCAGAAAAAGATCTTATTGCATATGCAGTTTTAATTCATAAAACCAGTAACTCATCAAAATGTCTGTTCTATTTAGTATTCAAGATTTCTCTCATTTTAACCAGGTGCTCGTTACAGACTACCAAAAACATATATTCTCTTTTCCAGGAGAAGCTGCCTCAGACCCAGGAACTCCCCAGTCAGATTCACCCCCAGGAACACCCCCCACAGCAACCACAACCCCGGTAACCTCAGGCCCCACAACCTCAACCCCCAATGACACCCCAGATGATGCAGCGCTAAAGCAGAGACGACCCTCAAGGTTTGAGGTCACAAAAGTCGAGTCACCTTCCAAGAACGAGTCAACAGTTACACTACAGATTGACCCTGTAGAGGTGAGGTGCTTTGTCTTGAAGGGATGATTATTTGTTATCATTATGGGTATAAATGTAATGAATCATTCCTAATTATCAATTACTATGTATGAAGAAGCACACCCTCGTTTAGTTGTTATTTTTTTCTTCCCTTCTTTTCATTTCTTTTCTTTTCTTTAGATCCCAGCAAAATCTGAAACAGCACTGGATAAGCCACAGATAACCCAAAGGAATAGTTTGCCTCGGAAATCAATCCTAAAGAAGACAAACAGTTTTATCCTCCATCCAGCTTCATCCTCACCCTTTGTTTCTCCACAACACACACCTTATGCTACAGTACATGCTGGGGACTCTAGGTAAGTATCTCATGTGTTTATAATTGATTGTTATTGATTTTTTTCATTGATAGAATGGTATAAGAAAGAGGAACATTCTGGACTCAGCCAGTCCAGCTTCACTCATGCTTGTGATGTCCCTTTTTCCTCTTCCCTCGAGCCTTAGTATTGCTTTGAGGGAGTAGGGCTAGGGTTCTATTAGATGTAGTAGGTGTTGTGCATTGCAATGAGAAACTGATTGATATATTATTATTACTGATGTTGTTGCATTCCACTTCACTTACATAAATTATTCCTGAGATGCTAAGGAATCCAGAGAGCCTTTACTTATAATTGTCATGGCAAAAGTTGTCATGTCACAGTTAGTCAAAATCAATCTGTAAATGAACAAACAGCCTTTTGATCACTATCCTCTTCCTCCACCTCCTCTTTCTCCTCCTCCTCTTCCTCCTTCTCTCTCTCTTCCCCTTATCTTATTTTTTTATGTTAATTTCTCACTCTTTTTCAAAATCTTTACTCTTCTCTTTGTTACTGTCTCCCTCTCTCTGCACCAGGCTCCTTTTTTCAAGTATTCATACACTGAGGAACAATAAGTTTTTACTATCAGATATCAGTCATTTATACACAAACAAAAAGCAATAGCTACATTTTATTTAAGGTCATTTAGTATTTTTCTGTCATTTTTCTGCTGCATTTTCATGGATTAGTCCAAGGTAATTTAACATGTGTTTCCCTCTCTGTCCTTTGGATATTAGTATTGGTGTTGTTGTTTTTTATTTTTTATATATGATGTACTGTAGATTAAAACTGTAAAACTCTGTGTGCGTGTGCGTGCATGTGTGTGTGTGCGCGTGTGCCTGTACATATATACATATACATGTATACATACATACATATAGATAGATACATACATAGATATACATGTCTGAATGAATGTCTCTCTCTCTCTCTCTCTATATATATATATATATATTTAAAGTATTTAGGTTCTTTAAAGGGCCAAGAATCAAGTTTTTTTGCTATGTCGGATCTTTGTATTTGACAATTAATTTTATCAAAATTAGAAGAATAGTTAATGAATGCAGTTGTTCAGGGGCGCTTTTTTGGTTGGCAGTTTCCTCTGGGTACAACAGTGATTAAGAGAAAACGACAATCTAAATAAAGAAAATTCAAGACTAGAAATCTTTTATTCTTTTCTTGCATTTTTTTGTTGCATGAAAGGACTCCTCTGTACAGTTTGTGATTTGGAATGAATGGAAAGTTTCTATTATTTACCATTTTCTTCTTACCTCTTGTTCTGGTTTCTTTTTGCAATTTTCTCTTTTCTCTATCCTCCCCCTTTTTCCTTTTCTTGCTTCCACTCTCACCTTCACATTTCTCTGCTTCATATTATCCACATTTTTCAAACTTTTTGTTCCTCTATAGACATTTGTTAGAAATTTTGAAAAGCTTTTTGTTCCTTCATAGATATTTGTTAGAAATTTTGTAAATGTAATTCAGTTAAGCTTGTGCACTAGAAGTTGTTTAATGAACCCTTTTGTAAAATGTGTTTGGCCCCAACAGATTACGGCAAGCTTTCGAAGCAGTGTTAAGAAAGACAAGCCTTTTAAAGATGGATGACAAGAATGCAAGCGGCAGCACAAATGTTGCAAACTCAAATAATACTTCAAAGCGTGTGTCACTGGTAGGTGATCAGATTAATTTTGTTTGTTCTCTAAAAATAGAAATGATGATAAATGACTGAAAGAATAATGAGAATGTAAAGGGAAAAAGAAGGGACCTTTTGTAGCTATGCAGTTTTTCTGTCATTATTCTTACTTTTATTTTTATCTTCACAACCATGCCTATCAGGATTATAATTCATATCATGATACTGATAGGCACAATCATGGCTTCATTTACTGAACTGTTAGTAAGGATTATGAAGGGAATGACTGTAACAATTAGCAGTAATGATTGAAGATATTGATAAAAAGAAATACTAATACAAATTTGAATAAGCTACCATAACCCCCCACCCTTCTGTCAGAGAAACCAGTCTCTCAAAGCCAATTTCACAGCATAGCTCCTCTTGTTCCCTCAGCCAATGAACAGGATGATTGAGATGACCCAGGAGGAGCAGCGGCGGTGGGAGGAGGAGGAGCTGAACAAGGAGGTCGACTTCAGCAAGTGTCACATTGACCCTGCGCCCTTCCAGCTGGTTGAGAGAACATCGTTGCTGAAGGTACATGATAAGATTTTTTGTTCTGGTTGTTATAGTGGTCATGGCTATTGTAGATGGAGGGGGGGAATTGTTCTCTTGTTAGTCTGTAATGCAATATTGTGTTTATTCGGTGAATGTGATATATGTCAAAGTTAGGATTATTTCTCAGAAACATTTGAATGAATTACTTTGATAGTTATATCTTGTTCCCATAAGGCTTTATTTTGCATCTTTTTAGATTACTTGTATACTTTCTCTCTCTTAATACACTATACCATGTAGAAGGCTTGTGATCAGGAAAAAAATGTCATATCTCCTTCTTCAGTGATCATATCCATTTGAATTTGTTTCTTTTGCTTCTCAGTTATTATTTCCAGTTGCCTTAAATTTTCTTCCTTTCACTCTGAAATGTCTTTTTCCCTCTCAGTCATACCCTATTTGATATACTCAATGTCATGCTTCCATAACTGACCTTTTTTTTTTTTGTGCTCTTCTTCGGCAGGTCCACTCTCTCTTCTCTATGTTGGGTCTCAACCATGCATACGTAACTGCGATTGGGAGGCTCATAGGTGTGGTTGCACTGAAGGAGGTAAGATTAATCTATGCTATTTTGATTTATAGGTAATAGTTTTTCATTCTAAAAAAAATTCTGGGAAGTGATGAGTATGTTCATTATTTTATTTTTGTTTGAGATTGCATTGATTATTGGTTATCTGTTTATGATGACAAGGTGCTGTCTATGATAATGTTTATGTGGTGTTCATAGTGACTATGTCTTTTTTCCTATGTATTGAATATATTAGTATAAGTATCAGTCTGTGTAACAGCTTCATATTTATTAGTTATGTTGATCTTCATTTCAAAGGATGAAGGATTGAAGAGCTCTAGGTATTGTGTATAATAATTTCCTATGTCATGCAGTACTTACGCCTAATTTTTGAATTACACAGTTGCTTTTACTAAAGCTTTTATCACTAAAGGCTTAAGTATTTTAGTTTTAGACCAAGGCATGACCTGTAATAAAGTTATAGGAAATACAGTGACATTAGATTTTCTTTTTCTTTATGCCTTACGTTTTCCTTTTTTTTTAAATGAGATATTGAAGGCTTAATGACTCTTCTAGTAGAAGTGTTATATTTTGTTGCATTACTGTGATTTGCCACAATTTCTTTTAACTGTGATGTCTGCACTAACCTCCAGACTTAGTCAGAGCAGACATAGCACATCATGGTAAATATAGATATCTAAAGACTTTCAAGAGACTCAGCCAACGATATTCTTATATTTACTGACCACTTGCTTCTTACCCATTGTGCACTGTGGCATCTCCTTGTCCTCCCCCAATGCAGCTGAGAGCAGCAGTCGAGTCCACCAACTCTGGCGACTTCCAGAAGCCCAGAAGAGATAGGGGGGTCGGGGGAACATTTAGGGAAAAGTTTTTAAGGACCACCATAAGGAGAAAGGTTTTGCTTTTTGCAGAATTTTGTGTTTTTGTTATTTTGTTTTTGTGTATTTGCATATTTGTTTTTGTGGTGATTTTTATGTTGTATGATTTCTAGATTTTGTTGTTGTTGTTGGATGTTGTTTGTTGTTGTTTGAGTTATTATTGCTGTTGTTACTGAATGACACTGCCCCTTAGAATATCATGATTTTAGAAGTATGAACTTATATATGTTGAATTTGATGGAATTTATACACATGTTTATCTCATTTGTGATTGCATTTCTCTTCAGAAATATTTAATCTTTTATCCTGAACATTTTCTGTATTAATCACATTAAGTTTCTTTATTTTCTCTCTTTGTTGATTCCATTTCATGAAAATGCATGCATGCCTCGTAGTCCCCCCACCCCCCATAAAAAGAAGATTAAGAGACCACTTACTAACTACTCTTAATTTTCAATGACCCTTGTGGTATGACTTGAAACTAGACATTGCATATGTGGTATGTGTTTTGGTCCTCATGTTTCATTTCTTTTTCTTTTTTTCTGAAAATAACTAAGCATATCTGTAGTGAAATGAGATTTTTGTTACTGCATGATATCATTTGTATGGCCAGTTTTGTTCAATGATGTTGCCTGTTTGGACACTGTGAAAAGAATTCATGGTGATGATGATGATGATATCATTGGAATATGTTTTTTGTTTTTTCTTTCTTCTTCTTCTTCTCTTCTTTTCTTTACTTTTCTTTTCTTTTTTTGTGAAATATATTTTCTTTTAGACGTATGAAGGTCTTTTGGAGATATCATTTATCAATGAAAAAAGTAGATTAGATTTTTTTCTGTATTTTATCACCATCATCAAACATTCATCATTTGAATTGAAATGCTAGTTCAAACTAGTAAATTATGCCCTTTTTTATTAACACAGAATCAAAGATTTGATCTTTAATGGCATGTTGTTATGAATTACTTCTTTAGAGTTTGATATTATACTTTTATGTAGAGATTTTGACTTTAATTATCTATTAGAAGAAAATTGGATTAAAGAAAATACACAGATTTGTGTATGCATTTTTAGTAGACATAAGTTGATAAATGCTGTTCTACTTTTTTTTTCATCTCCTCTCTTTTTGTAAATATATAAGATTCCATTATTATTTCAGTTTGATTAGTTCTTAGATCTGTGTACTCCCACCCCTCTTTTTTTATTAGAAGGCAGTATTAGTATAGCCCTATGCTTTGTTTTGTCAAATTAGAATTAATATTATTATTAGCAAAGTCACCCTTGCATTGATATGTATGTATTACACTTATTTCCACAATTCATGCCTATGTTTCACTTGTGCACATTATTGTTGTAATGTTTATGTATTGGTGAAATGTTTCAAGAAAGGATAAACCACAATATGTACTGAAAAGTGAAGAAACAGTAACCAGACATAGCTGTTGTTACTTTTTGTTCATTGTTTGATGTTCTTGACTAATAGATGCTTCATGTTAGTTCTCATCCAAACTTTGTAATTTTATAATTGTCATGTTAATCGTCAGAAAACTAACGGAAAACCATTTATTTGCTACTATTCAAATGATAGAGAATCACAGTACACTAAAGAGTCATATTGAATATTAAGTGCTATATAATCTGTGGGATATTAAATGCGTATTAACCCATGGAGTGTGAGGTACAACTCAGTGTGGGTTTATGTCACAGCTGAGGCTCCGCTATGCTCAATTTTCGGAAAAATTTTCTCACCCAATCAAACGAGTTAATGTTTTTTTACATAATTTAGTTTGCTATGTGGGGTTGGATTAAAAAGGGTAATTACATACTCCACTAGAGTATACTGGACTACCATAGGGATATTTAATACATATTAAGGTTATACCATACTATCTCAAAGCTACTATGTGTGGAAAACAGAACACTGACACATAACTCTCGTCCCACAGCTTCGGAAAGCCATCGAAGAGACCAATTCGGGAGACTTCCCCAAGCCAGAGACAGTTCCTGCAGCTCCGGATAGTCCCCCACGAAGCCCAAAGACTTCAGAATCAAAGGATTAATGATTATCGATCATATAACGGACACATTTTTTCTCATGCATGTGTTGTGGATTAAGCACTTTTTCACTCTCTTTCTAGTATGTGTATTTATTGATGAAGCTACTATTGATGTAGGTAGAAAATTTGAGAATTATTTGGGCTTCCTGATATTAAAAATACATTTGGTGAAAAGAGAAAAGAAATTTGCAGTTCTGTAATTGATGATGCAGATTACAATATTATATATCTTTTGCTACATGCATGTTAAGACAATTAATTGGTATTAGATAATATATATATATATATATATATGAATATATATATATATATATATATATATATATATATATATATGTATATATGTGTATATATGTGTATATATATGTATATATGTGTATATATATGTATATATATGTATATATATGTATATATATATATATATATATATATATACATATATACATATATACATATATACATATATATACATATATACATATATACATATATACATATATACATATATACATATACATATATACATATATACATATATACATATATATATATATATATATATATATATATATATATATATATATATATATATATATATATATATATATATACATTGCAAGGCAATTAAAGAAAAGGAAAGGATATTGTGTAGATACTTAATTCAATTCTAATTACTAGAATAGGATATCCTAAAATTTCTGATTTGCTTTTTATCATAAAGATTTTTAAAAAATTCATCTCTTTAAAGTCAGCACCTGATATCAAGCAGTTCAAGTGTTATCTTACAATTTTAAAATCTAGTTTTAGTAGGAGAAAAAGAAAGGGGTTGGGAAGAACATTTAAAAAATATTTCTTTATATATTGATCCATTGTTGATAGTGTTGCAGACCTTATGATATAGTGCCTACTGGGAATAATGAAGTCATTTTTACTTTTAGACCTCATAAGATGTTTTTAATAACTTTATGTAAGATATTTATTCAGAGAAAATAAAACTCATGTGTACATATATCCTGAAAATATAAGATGGAATTAGCATATTTTTCAGTATCTGTGTAGCCTCCTATCAAGTTCTCTACAGGTATATAAAGGCCACAGGTTCTTATTATGATGATTTACAGTTCTTTATTAGACACCTCATGGAAGGTACTTCAGCTGAAGAGATTATTAGGAATATGATTTAAGTAGCAGATTACCCAGACAGAAAGAAAACCTCAGGATAATTTATAGGTTTTGCTTTTTACAAGCATCAGGAGATGGTGAGCTGGTTGTTGATGTAAGATGTTAATTAGTCACCAGTAATCTATTTTCACCTCTTTGTTTTAATATAGAAAGTTATATAACTTGTGATGTTGAAAACTTTTCTTTTCTTTATTTTAAATTCAAGTTATGGATGCTCCATCATTGTATACGAGTTAGACTGTGTGGTAGCGGATTGTACAGTATTTGTATTATCAGTGAGAAGAAGTTTTCTACACTGAAAGTTTAACAGATAGGTGATCTAAAATTATAATTTATAATAGCAGCTATAACATAATTGCTACTATTTTGAGAGTGATGCATTTTCTTGTTTGAGAAATTATATACACTTATCTTTTGAGAATCTTTGATGCATGAATTAATTGATACAGTGAATCAAGAACTAGACAAGATATATTTTATGAAGTATGTGAAACTGTATTGTGTACGTAATGATGAGTAGAGATATTCACGCATACTCAATTGAAAAACATTCAGATATGCATCATGAATATATTGTGTAAATAACTGTATATAGATTAATGTTGAAATATGAAATACACTCATATCTATAGGTAAACAGAAATGTACTTAAGTATATAGCTATGCAATATATGATTTAATACATAGGATACAATCTTAGCAAAGAAAAAGCATGAACCAGCACTAGGATGAAGGTTACAGTAATAGGAAACATATAAATGCCTGTGATTATTTTGCAATAATAGATTAAATGTAAAGATTTCCATTGAGCAGACTGGTTAATGATTTTTAAATGGAGCTGATAATGTTTCACTTTATGCTATCATGTATACTATTGTTGTTGGATATTAGATATATGTGCATACTTATACAGATACTTACTATGGTGACTTCAACATTTATTTATATAACATGTATGGTACTCCAGTGACTTTCTCTAATAATACTCACAGTCACTTTCTCTTAGAGTATAACTTTTTAAGCTATATGAGAGGATTTGCAAAAGCCAAATAAACTGTGCTCGAAAATGTGTTTGCGTGTAAGAGCATTCAGTAATCATAGAAATAACTTGATATAAGTATTATATCCGTGAGGAATTGAATTAGTTTTTTTCCTTTTTTTTTTCTCTCTCTTTCTTTCTGTAGATATCTTATGGTGCAGCAATATTTTTTCTCTTTTAAATTGTATATAGTCTAACATTTTTATAGCATGAGATTGTTAGTTACAAGCAGCGACATACATCATTATGTAAATAGACAGAAAGGGTGCAAGCCAAAAGAAATCTGTAAGATGTGAAAACTCTTGAAATGTAAAATATGATACAAATTTATGAAGAGTTTATTTTGGTTTAGGTGTGGTTTCCATTATCTTTTTTTTTTTTCAAACCAATGTTTAATTTTGTATTTTGGTTTTGCAGTCCTATTTTTCTCCATATACCATTTTATTAGGATATCCAAGGATGGATTACATTTAATGTAAATCCTTTCTAGGAGTTACACATGAATATATTTGTTTACTTAGTGTGTAAC